CAGATTTGGTGTCGGTGCTTACGCAAAATCATTCAACAATCAGTAAAAAACAATTACTAATGACATGCTAACCCTTAAAGCTTACTCCCAAAACTCGCTGACCGGATCGACCAACCAGTCGCCCCTTTCCATTGCAGTCAGATTGTCAAGGCTGCCGTTATTCTTGGTATGATTGAGCAACCGGGCCGATTGTCCTCTCGCAGACAACGAGATCGTTTGCTCGCTGGTGTTGGCGCCGGACGAGTTGCCGCCTGTGAGATGACACTGTGGCGTGTTCCACCATTCGTTGCAGTGCGTCCATGGCAGTTGGTTGGTGAGAGAGGCGAAAAGGTAGAAGAGGATCCAGGCAATTATCACGTTGTAGTAGCAGTTGAGGAAGAAGACGATCGCCATGCCTGCGAAGCCGACACCTGAAAGAGGGTTGATTGACATTTGGAATAAGGCGAAACTTGAAAGATTGTTTGAAGGTCTTTCATTTCGTAGGGTAGTGCACGATTAAGAGATTTGTGGGTCGAGATTCCGGTTGCCGAACTCCACAAAACATCCTCCATCGTTTAGAGATAAAGCGAGCTGAGCTTCCGCCCATCACATGATGGCCATCTTCAGAGATGGAACTCATTTTGGTAAAAGTTTTACGCTAAAACTTTGTCAACAAGACTGACATTAGGCTTTTGTAATTACTTTGATTTAGGAAAAATATTACATGCATACGCTAATACGCGCACACGCACACAAAAACACATACAGATTAAAGTCAAATAATCACGACAAATATGAACGAGAACCCTAACGTCGTATTACAACGCGAATCAGTTGTCAGTTTCTGGTGAGATCAACGTACGGTTCTCCTCATCATGCACTTTCAGACAAAATCAAAGTCCTTTCAGCAATGTTATTTCTGTAGGTTCATTGAATCACGCATCTTTTTCGTATATAAAAAACCGTTGGAAGCCCAACTGGCCTTGGTTACCAAAATAGTTGAGGCCCTGACGGGTAGACTTACGTGGATTGTTTGACTAACCACTTAAAGGTACGAAAATGCGGACCTGCACATTG